CTGCTGTACATTTACTGTCAGATAAAGGTCTACAGGTACAGCAGGTCCCTCTGGGGTTGCACAGTGACAGTAGGTTTTAGGTCTGGTTCTTCTCTGATGTGCTGGTAGTTCATTTCTCTTTGTGGGAGGTCATGTGATTCTCAAACTCATACACTAACTATAAAAGCAAAAATCTAGGGAAAAAATGGTGTAAATTATGACTCTGGTCAAGACAAAATGACAAAATGCTTTCAAACACCAGACAGTTAAAAGGGAACCTGGTTTGCTGTCATCCTTGCAACAACGCTGCAAGCAAGACAGCTCTGTGTCCTAGTTCCATACTAATACTATAAAGTGTACACTATGAACTAATGTTGGCAGTCAGAATGCAACAATGGAATTAATGTACTTGTGAATTTTGTGCTAACAACTAATGGTACATGGTGTGCGTTAACAGACATCGCACCAGTTCCCACACACCTATCACATTCAGCTGTCAGCTCTGTTGTGCAGTGCGCTGTGACACAGAAGTTTCCATCAACACCACAATCACTGATTTAGTCTACATATACTATGTCTGCACTACATTATTCCCAGTATAAACCCACTACAGACCAATGGTTTGCAACTGGGACCAAACTAAAGACAACAGTAACCAGAACCAACACTTGTAAGTGTGGTGGAGTCTGGCTAACAAAGCAATGGTTACCATCAACGATAATGTTAACCATGTTGTTCAGTTCTGGTCCGAAGTGTCATCCAAGGGCAGATCTTTGATGAAGCTCAGGCCTCGTACTGAGGACGCCAGCTATACTCCAAATGATGTCATTGTATAAATGTGGAATCCATGTGGAACAGGACACCAGTATTAGTAGAGAAGGTCAGTTACTGTGAGATCGTTGCCATGTGTGAAAATACCCACGCTGTGTTAGCTGTTTGTAAGTTAGAGACTGCAGATGCATTGCACTACAGGCATTAATCAACAGAACTTATTACTCTTTACAGACCGTGGGCAATGAGTGTTGGGAAGAATCAGCCTTTCATTTAACCAAGATATCAAAGTGAAAGAAGTAGAAGTCATCGTAACTGAAAGGTTTTTTTTGCAGTTTTGGAGATGTCTGAGTGGTTGCCTCTGCCAACAAGCCATACATTTGCCTTTTGTGTTTGTGGTAGGAGGTAGACTGAACAGGCAGAAATGCAAGTGAACATTTTCCATTGACAACGTGTGGGTTGCATTTAGGTCTGCATTCTGCTGGTTTGACTGCGCTGTTTTATAATTAATTGTTGCCATTCATTAGCTCCCAGCATTTTCCTGTACTGCCTATACCCCTTTTTTTGCTGAATATCACTGGAACGCAAGAACTGAGCCTCACACACATGCACGCTGACTGTGTCTGCTGCTAATCTGTGGTGAGAAGGTCAGTGTGGCCTTCCTGCTGTCTGACTGATCTCCAAGCCCTCTCACTTTTCACTGATGTAGCATCTCTAAATGGTTGTGTGTGTTGACGTGTGTGTGTCTGTCTTCAGGACATAACACAGCAGCACACCGTAAATGCTGACCTGTGGACGTGTGTGTGTGTGTGTGTGTGTGTGTGTGTGTGTGTGTGTGTGGGTGGGAGGGGGATCCTTTTCTCTCTTCCTATCAGCTGACTCTGGCTCTTAGAAAAAAAAAAGTCAGTGTCATTTCAATGTGCCTCCAATGTAGAAAATAGTTTGTATGTAGCTTATAAACTGCAGTTTGTAATGCTTTGACTGTGTTGTGGATAAAAACATGATTAAACGTGTTTAACAGCCACAGTGATGATGGTGATGTTTTTATCATTATGATGATAATGTAATGCAGGTTGATGTTCTTTCGTGCTGAGGGAGAAAAAAGAGAAAGCTTGATGCCTCACAGGTACTGTCTCTTTCATATCTCTGTTCACATGACCCTCTATACCATTATACCTGCCTCTCTCTGAATAAAACCACCTTAAAGCTGATTATTTCTTATTTATTCACCTCCATCATTATCATAGATGGTACTGAAGTTTTATTTTATTAATGTGGTTCATTGAAATGAATGAAATTTGAAATCAGCTCACTTACTTTCAACACAAAAAATGACAAAACCACTACATATCTGTAGTGGTTTGTAGAAGGACTACAGATCTGTATTTGGGTTTGTGAATGAAACAGTAGCCCTTCTACCTACTTTCTAGATTTGTTCTCCTTTGGAAAAAAACTTCTGCCTATTTTGATTTGTTTTTGTAATTTTAATTTCTGAATTACAGATGACAGCACACAGAAATTACACACTTTAAAACATATTTTTCTTAAGCTATCATGTACATTAAATGAATTATTAAGTAAGGCCATCTCTGTCGGGGCAATAATTCAGAGGTCAGCTTCATTGTGTGTGTGTTTTTTATTTATTTAACCAAAATATTCCAGATAACAAAATGTATAACTAAATGCCCCCTGTTGGCTTTAAAGGAGACCTATTATGCTTTTCCACATTTTATGCCTTATCTACAATGTTACAATGTTGGATGTTCATGTTAAACATGGCCAAAGCTTCAAATAATGAGGCAAGAGTATTTAAAAGAATTCCCTGTGAGTCCAAACCTCAGATTTCCTCCTGTTCTGAACGCTGTTTTGAACTGCTTATTCTATGAACGGCTCCGTTGTACGACACACGAGCTACACAGCTGGTTTGGTCATTTGTGCCGCACAGCTACGCTCAGTCTGTCTGTGCCGCCAAAGTCCTTTTAGGCAAGTCCTGCCACTCGGGCCGCCATCTTGGCAACACTTCCGGACACTCATTTTGGACTAACAAGACCAGTCTCCTAGAACTGCACTTTTACTGGTCACTGGGACATAAAAACTACATGAATAGAATCAGCAGTAAAATCTGATAAAAATCGCTGAAAGAGTTTGAAAACTTTGCTCCAAAATAAGGTTTAAAAAGCGTTTGTCCCGACCGGTTATACTTCTACTACGCATGCGTCACCACTTCCGCGCATGCGTTGTAAAGGTAAAACAGACCCTTACGTCAGTGGAACCATGCGATTGGCTGAAATATGATTCATGCTTTGGCTGTTAAAAGCAGACGATTGGCTTTCTAGCGGGAGGGGCGGGATAGCCGCCATCTTTGCCATTACGGGCTTTCCCCATAGAGTTGTATTGACGATATGATTGAGTGGCATGTCTACTCTAAATTGTCTCTGTTAACGCTCAGTGGCAACAACAGCCTGGTAACATGCTTCAGGTCTTGGCCACTCAGAATACAGTGTGCTTTGGGGGGGGGGGGTGGCTTAAAGAGACAGGTGCATCTACAGCTTGTTTCAGACAGAGGCTGAATTGAAGGCCTTCATGAAGAACCAGTATAAGACAGAAAATTATTTTTTTGAACTTTGAATCATGCAAAGCTGCCATACAGGAGTCACAGAAAGACAGTATGGGACTGGAAAAGGACTATAATAGGTCTCCTTTAACAGTGGCTAAAAAATGGAATTTGCTCTACCATGGAGAATACAGTCTGTGTTCAAATGGATTCACAGCTGCTATAATGGATTTTAATATCGATGTGAGGTTTTACGATTATGAAAACATCCATAAAAACTTAAACTACTCTTCCAATACCCTTGATGATGACCCTTGATTAAAATGGTTATGTTTTGGTGCACTCCAAGGGCTGTTTTGTGGATACTGTAAAAGTAGCAAATTTTTGTGTCTCAGATCTCAGCTCTTAGCTAGGTGAGAAGAACATTTGCAGGGGCCTCTGGGCTCGGCCGGGATTGTGCCTTGTTCTGTTTCCAGGATGGCAGCCATAGAATTGCACATTTGGTTTTTACAAATGTTTGTCATTCTCCTGACCTCCATGCACTTGGGTGGTTAGCAGCTGGGTGTGAATGTGGAAGTCCTCTGGCCTTTTTGTGCCTTGTTTCTTGCATATGTAGCTAATTGGTAGGCAGGGCCATTCCCAGTCACTACATAAGCTGCCACCCTGTCCTTCTCAGGGATACTCCCTGCACTTTGTTTGGTTATTTTATCATTATTCCCTACCAACATCCACACACCACATTTAACACCTAAACCCTGGAGGCCTTGCTCTAGAGGTTTTCACATCCAAACTGGGGGAAGACCCCAGGGCTGACCCAGAACATGCTGCAGGGATTACATATCAAATCTGGGCTTGGAAAGTCTTTGGATCCCCAGGAGGAGCGTGAGTACGTGGCTGGGTAACAGGACGTACATTATGTATTACCTTGCTTAGCCTGTTGCCAAGGCAACATCTGAATATTGTTGGCTGGATGGTTAGACATGTTAGACAAAATCATTAAAGTAAGACCCAGGTTGTGTGAAACTATGATTTCCCTTTAATTTCCTGTAATTTTGAATGTTGTTTAAGGGTAAGGAGTTTCCAGCCGGGCTGTTAATGCAATTTGTACTTCTAGGCACAAGCGATCCCTTACAGCTGCCCCTCTGCATTATTCTACAGCTTCACAGTCTACTGTGGCATTGTGCACTGTGGTGTCACCTTGTGGCTGTCTTTTAAAGGATATACCAAAGAATGCTTTTGACAACTTGGTCTTATTTCCGCTGTTTTGTTTATTATTTCTGTCAAGAAAATTAACATTGTAATGACCAAGTTAATTGCTGAGATCTGGGAACACATTGCTGCTAAAGATCCGGGATGTCTAATGGGTCAAGAAACACAAGCAGTCAGACTGGTTGTAAACAAACCCCTAGGTCAGTCAAACTTGTTTGGAAGAGAAAACAAAGGTGAACTGTAAAATGATTACCCAAACTGCCTGTTGTAATCATCCAGCACCAAGAGTTTGTTTTAGCTCTGTTCCAGACTTAGAGCCCTATGAACAGGCATGTGGTCTTTTTGGTCGACTATACTGCCGAGCCTTCAGTAGTAAATGCAAAGTCTACATCTTTGACAAAAGCCCATTGTTTTTACTGTGGGCCCTGCACTCAATCTAATTATGAGTGTGTGTGTGTGTGTGTGTGTGTGTGTGTGTGTGTTTCAGACCGTGGAAAGGGCAGGCAGAGACAGGCCATTTTAGGAGAACACCCATCATCCTACAGTGAGAACGGCTATGGTAAGATTAACACACACACTTAGAATTACACTGGAAACTGAATCCCTGCCTTACACAAGGCTGATACTTTATCTACAGTCCCCATACCTTGAAGGTGAAACTAGACACTCGCTTACACACACACACACACACACACACACACACACACACACACACACACACACACACACACACACACACACACACACACACACACACACACACACAGTATAGGTGAAGATTGCCAGTCATGTGTGATGACCAGAGGTGCAGCAGTAGGTATACCTTCACCTGCATTTGGAAACGGATCCCTGTGAATTATTCTAACGGATCCGGTCGAATTACTCTATTCGACCGTGCTTTTTCAGCAGCAGCCCCTAAACTATGGAATGAGCTACCTCCACTGGTCAAAATGGCCCCCACCCTCAAAACTTTTAAATCCCGTTTAAAAACTCACTTTTATTCCCTGGCTTTTAACCCAGCATGAGAGCTGTCAGGTCTACTGTTGTTGCCCTGCGATTGTTTCTGAATCATTTCTTTGTGTGTTTGTTATGTTTTTATGTCTTCTATGTGGGTTTATATGTATTTTATGTTTTATTCTTTGTGCAGCACTTTGTAAACCTGTTTTTCAAAGTGTGCATGTAAATAAAATGGATTGGATTGGATAAATTAGGACACAGTTAACATGAAAAGGAAATACACATAAAATTGTGTATTGTATTTCACTTTACCTCTTTGTGTGATTTGTTTTTTAATCAGGTATTATAAATCTTCCATACAAAATAGTGAGCAACTGCATTATTCAACATTTAGTTAAAGGGGCCATGTGTAGTTTTCAGTGGGCTCTAGGGGTGAGGTTTCACATTGCTCAACTCAGCTCCTTCCCAAGCATGTGCTCATGTGCATGCTTCAACTAATGAGCAGCTCGAGACGCCCAAGACAGCGTCACACAAAATACTACAGTGTTTCCCCGACCATTGGGAGGCCCGCCCCACCTGAAAGCTGCAGAAATCGCGGAAGGAATCGCAGAATTTGGCAATAAAAATGCAATTAACTGTAAAACACGTAATTTTATGGATCTGAATTTCTTCACTTAGGACACAGCATGTGTGGCTGTTCCAAGAAGGAAAACAGGCAAATGGTTCATTTTTATGTGAGGGGCAACCGACACAAATAGGCAAAATGAAATTCACTATCAAGGTTTAATTAGTCTCACACCAGCATTAGTAAAAACTAAAAAGTACATGACGTGCTGATATTTACAGTATTGCAGGCATGTGCATTTAAACGCTAGCCCATGTCTACTATGATAAAAAGCTTTTTGAGTGAGTTAAAGGTGAGTCGAGCCCTGCAGCTGCCTACTCTTGGTGGGCAAAGGTGTCCATATAAGTGAACGTTGAGATCAGTTTGTGGACTGAAGGAAACGCGCATGCAGAACTAATCATATTACGGCCACAGTCAACATGTGTCAACAACACCTACATCTAACAATAACAGTAGACACAGGAGGTTCACTTTACTGAACTGAAATGAACTGAGAATCTCAGCTTCTCTTTTCTCTGCCTCCCCAGGTCAACCCTGCCCCCTGCTGCCTCTTCCGGGGAACAGCAGGTACAAGCTCGCCTCAGTGGACGTTCCAGACATGGTGTCCTACCCTCTGCCCCAGTCCTCCTCCTCCTACTCTGCCCATGCCCCCAGCTCTGTTGCCATGGTGAGCGGTCTCCATCCATCCAAGATGAACTGCACCCGCATCTTCAACCTCTTCTGCCTGTATGGCAACATTGAGAAGGTAGGAGTGTGTATTCTTAACATGTTTTGCTGTTTGAACAATATAATGATCCCTGCTTCATTTCGGGCGCATTCGCTTTACTTCTTTGAGTGTTACACGTCCTTTGCTTTCACCTTTTGGAATAAGAGGACAGTACAAAAACCTGTGCCATCCTTTTGCACAACAGTCTCCCATCAGGGTGCTGCAGGAGAAAGCGACATCAACCTTCATGACTCAGTCACTGCCAAGCTTAAGGACATTCAGGAAGTTCTTTACTTTAATGACAGTATTCACTTCCTTCAAATTGAATTAATAAAATCATATTTGCACAGGAGAATTCATCCAGGATTTCTACCTGCTAAAAGGAAGTTTTTCCTTGCCTGTGTCGCCAAGTGCTTGCTCATGGTGGGAACTGTTAATGTTACAAAGAGTATAGTCTCCATATGCTCTATATGAAAAGAGCAATGAGATAAGTTTTACATTATGGGAACACTGTTGCTAGGCAACTAACAACCAATGGACACTGTCATGTTTTTTTCCTTCTGAATATTAGTGTTTGGGAATGGGAAAAGTACCAACGGCAAAAGTAACCAGTAGGGATGGGGGTCGAGACCCAGTTCCAAAATTTCTCAAAACTAAAAATCAGTAAGGTTCGAGCTTATCGATACTGCTATCGAGACTTGCGGGTCCTATGATGTAACGTTATGTCTTGAGCGTCAAATCTGATTTAATTTGAAACGCAATGGATAAGAAAATCATCTGGCTGCAGTCTCTCTGTCGGCTCCTACACACACACACACACACACACACACACACACACACACACACACACACACACACACACACACAGTGGAGGTGGAATACGGTGAGGGTTAAGTTAACGTTAGCTCCAAACTACTGTAACGTTAGTTGATGACAGCTACGCTCGTTACTGTAAGTACGTGCAATAAAACCTTCGCAAGTAAAAAGACAATAGTTTATCAATACACCTGTCTGTAAGGTAACGTTAAACATGTAGAAATGGTTAATTTAATCATCTCTGTCCTCAGTATCTCATCCTGTATGTAAAGAATCAGATCGTTAAGCAGTCTCAATAAGGGTATCAATATCAATAAAAATTAATGATCCCCATCCCTAGTAACCAGCAAACACATGTATTATGCACATTTTCAGGTTCAAAATCCTATTTAGAGGTTGTACCAGAACAGGTTTGCATGGTTTAATTTTACTGCACATTGCTGCAGCCCTGTCCAGGGTGTACCCCGATGTCAGCTGGGATTGGCTCCAGCCCCCCGCGACCCTGTACGCAGGATAAGCGGTTGACGATGGATGGACATTGCTGCAGCTCCTCTTTTCAGCCTGTGTTGAAGGCTTCGTTTTAGCTATGGAGTGATACATCTTATCTCTAAATGATCTTTGTTGGGAGTTGCACATTCGCAGTTCCTAGTTAAGGACTACCAGCCAATCAGAAGCAGAGAAGGGCGGGTTAGTGAGAAGCTGGTAAACAGGGCTTCCTTTCTGCTGTACATGTTGCCGACCATGTTGGCAACATAGGCTGGAGCAAGAGTTTCAGAGTGGTGAGTTATTAATCTGTAACAAAGTATCTTTCATCCATAAAGTTTTACCTGAGCTCTGTCTCTACATCACAGGAACAACTTTATGTCCACTGACTGCCTGGAGGGTAGCTAGTGTTTGGAAGGGAGAGGAGAGCTGTGTGCTGCAGCTCACTGTGTTTGAGACTCTAGTCGACACGGCCAACTAGTTCTATGAGGCGCATTTCATCCCTGTGACTTCACAGAGATGAACTCCCTTTGGGCTGGATTTTGGCCTTTTTCACTTTGCAAACCTATTATATGCACAAAAAAGGTATAAAAAAACAAAAAAGCGTAATACCTCCTCTTTAAAACATTTACATTAAAAAGTAAATACACCGTTTTTCCACAGCATGAGGGCTGTGGATTCTGTCTATAGCACTTACACTGGAAGTGCATTAGGAAGGGATCTTTTAATGGTCAATGTGAAGCAGTGATTACAGCAAGTGAAACCTGTTTCAGTTTTCAAGGCAACTGACTATTATTAACTGACTAAGACAGACTTGAAAATTGTGAACTTTAACTTTAAGAAATCATTACATGTGTTGATTAGTGTTATATCTAAAAAGGTGAGTACAGCACGTACGTTGCTTTTATAACATAGCTCTTGAATGTGTGTGTGTGTGTGTGTGTGTGTGTGGTGTGTAGGTAAAGTTTATGAAGAGTGTTCCTGGTACTGCGTTGGTTGAGATGGGAGATGAGTATGCTGTGGACAGAGCCATCACACACCTCAACAGCATCAAGGTGTTTGGCAAAAGACTCAATGTCTGGTGAGAAGTAGACCAATATACACACACACACACACACACACACACACACCTTATTTTATTATTTCTTAAGTATTATTTATTTCTTAAATATTATATCTTTAATGTGTGTTGCTGTAAAGACTATTCATGCAAATGTAAGTCAAATGTAAAATTATAGTAAAAGGTGTCACATCTATCAGTTAGAAATAGAACCGCCGATCTTAGAACCGACACCGTAACCTAGTGAGAAGAAGAAAAAGCCACTTCATAAAAACTGTGAAATTCCTTTAAAATATGAAAAAAGTCATTTCACAAGCGGAAATTGCGGGGGTGGGGGTGGGGTCGGGGATGGTCATGAAATAAACCCTCTGGATTATTTGTGTGCCCTTCAAAAACTATTGCTTAAGAAATTTTATGTTTATTGTCCCCCCCAACTGGTAGATAAAATTTACGCCCTTGGTCACGAGTTCCCAGAGACCAAGGTCTCCAATGTTTTATCCAACCAGCCCAAAAGCCAAAGATATTAAATTTATTATGTTATAAAACAGAGAAAAGCAGTGAATCCTCAAAATTGGGGAAGCTGGAGTCAAAGTTTGGCTTTTTTACTTGATAAATGACTTTAACAATAATTAGGACCATGTTGAAAACAAGTTTTCTCACTCACTTTAACATGTCAAGCATTCCATCCATAAATAAATAAAACTGTTGTTGATCAATTTGAGGTCAAACTATTTATTCAACAAACCATTTTAATATATGAACTATATAAATAGTCACAAAGAAATCATAGATGCACTCTGATAAACAGTATTTATTAATAATACTTGCATCAGAGTTTGTTTACAGTTTTTCTCACTCGCTTTGGTACATTTCTCAAATCATCCTTAACATTTGCAAACCAGTGAGTGCATTTCTCAAAACAGGTAGTACAAACGGCACAACACAGTGGATTACCTGCAAAAGCCCATAACTTGCTCAAAATCCTTAGTCAATCTCTCAAAAGCAAATCTTTATATCATTGATCTTGTCAGTGCCATCAGAAAGACAAGTCCGTGTCTCTTGTTATGAACAAGCAAGTCAAAATTTTTAGCCATCTTGTCAATATAACGGTGTACTCTATAAGTATTTTCTGATGTACACGTTGGCTAGGATTTTGATGACAATGAAATGCACAAGGCTGCACCTTTTTTGTATGGCATATATAACTTTCACCAGTACAAAGTTATACACTGCAGGAGAGAGGACAGGAATCACAGCTATGCTTTTACTGTTCGTACTGTAATTTGTTGACAGAGCATGTCATTGTAATACAGAAAAGAAAGAGACAGGACTGTTGCATTGGATACACACACCCCTTTGGCTGACGTTCCAGTCTGTTGTATCACAGATTCTCTTCCAGATCACAACAGATATCTTCATCAATTCAGGACACATTTACAAAAAAATTCAAATAGACATGTATAGAATGTCTATCTGTATATACATTCATATATACACATACCGAAGCCCTAATCAAATACTTTTTTACTCTGCTTTGCTGTGATAATGGGATAATTTTCTCGTGATTTCGAGATAAACATAATGCTAATTATAGTGGGGTATGTGGTACCATTGGTTAGCTCACTTGGTAGAACACAGGATTTATAGTTTTAAGGTTGCGTGTTCGATCCTCACTGAAGACTAAATTTTTCTTTTTAATATTTTTCATAGTTCTTTTCAACAAAGTTCTTATTAAAAGACTGTCTGACATGCTCACATTGCTGTAAAGCCCATGCGTTCCGGCATTTGGTCCACATCCATCAACCTATGGACTTTTCATTTCCCCATCATTCCCAGGCAGAGGAAATTCCTTCTCATTCAGGGGAATCCATGTAACGTTACACATTTCCTGACGGCTTTCGGAACCTTTGAAATAGCCGTCGGGAAATGCGGATTCCCCTCAATCTCTTGATAACAATTTTGCTGAAGAGGATAATAAATAACACACAAAAGAAGAAAAAGAAAGTCAACAAGAATAGGAATCAAACTAATCAAACTGAGCCCTGTGCTCTACCAATTGAGCTTATAAGTGACACTGGTAATTGCTTTGAAATTATCCTAAAGAAACGGACCTGCCAGCCCCTGTATTCAGCTATGGTTTGTTATCTTATAATCACAAGAAAATTAATTATCCCTTTCTCAGGGTAAAAAACAACATTCGTTATTACTGCTCACTGTGTATTGTTACTGTTTACTGGTATTTATGGTATTGTGGGAGAATGGTCTGAGTGTTGTTGTTTTCTATTCTTACTTTGTTTATGGTACGTAAGAAACATTTCGTTTAGCTATATACTTGTAGGCAAACGATATGAAAAAAGTATTTCAACTTTTATTTTTGATTACGTGTTCAACAGTTTTGCATGTAATGACTAATGCAATGAAATTATGCCTAGTTGTTTTGGGGGGTAAGATTATTCAACAGAGACTGGTATAATTAATTGTGATCAGCACGACATCTTGTCACAAGACCTCTGACGTAATTGCTGATGTAATCTGCACTCTGCACATGCGTTGGCGTCTGTAGCCACCTGTCGGAAGCTCCGTCTTAAACCGAACTCTTATCCAGTTTTAATCCACTCCTTTTCGTTACATTTTTTATGTCCTTTTTATTTAACTTAAGTTTTACGTGGGTTAAGGATTTTAGCCATCCGACATGGATTTTAAGCTAGATGACCGTAAAAACGCGATCAACGCTACTGATCGCAACAAAGCTCCGGTGACTATGCTAGCCGAAATAACTCTGCCCCATGAGGACTGCACACTCCTTAAGAAAGCGAACAAGAAGATTGTTGACCTTATGTAATACATCCGACGACTTTCAGAGGAACTCAAAGAGAAAGATTCCCTGCTGACTGGCTTTATGGATGTGGCTTCAGTACAAGCCAAACAGATTGTTTCTCTTAGCGCAACCGCCAACATCCAGGACACCGTGTTTTGGGACCCCTCTAGCCTTCCCAGGCTTTCATCCTGCTCAACTCCGAAGCATCAGTCAACCTGAGCTGAAGTGGTGGTCCGTGGCTGGAAGAGAGGCTCGGATGGGGCTGCCTCTCCTCCGCACATCCGCCTCTCCAACCGCTATGCAGCCTTGTCTAACGACACTCCGGTCCATCCAGCGGATGCACCTGCGGCTTCGAGTCTCCCTGATATGGATCTCTTTCGGCGCACAGTGTCTGCCGACACTGTTGCATCTCCTCCACCGGCTACATCTCCTGCACTGGGCCGCCGGTCTGCTGCTGGGCCTGATCGGCGGCCGTCATCCCGGTCAAAAACCTCCGCTTCCTGACGTAGGATCCTGAAGGAGGCTTTGCTCTCTACCCTGCACCGTCGGGTAGCCCTTCTCTCAGGTCTGTTACTGCTACTCCAACACAACACTCGGCAGCTCACACACTCCATCCTCAGTCCGCACACAGTGTTGAAGCAGATTCTGCTCAGTCCTGCTCTGGATCCCCACAACCGGCATCTCCTCGTCCTCTTTTCTCCCCAACCACACTAATAATTGGTGACTCCATAACCAGAAACATCCGTTTCTTCAACGCTACCACTCACTGCTTCCCCGGTGCCACCACAGCTGACATTTTAAAAAAACTCCAGGACCTGATGCCATCGCTCCCGTCCTCCATCACAAGAGTGATAGTCCATGTCGGAACAAATGACACAGCTCTTCGGCAGTCTGAGCTGACAAAATCAGATTTTAACCGTCTTTTAACTTTTTAAAGCAGTGTGGAAAGTCCGTTTTTATCTCTGGTCCCATTCCCACAGTTGGTCGCGGTGCCGGCCGCTTCAGTAGACTCCTTGGCCTCCACGACTGGCTCCAGTCCGCCTGCAGGGCTCATCGTGTGTGTTATGTGGATAATTTTAATATTTTCTGGCAAAGAATGTCTCTTTTTAAGACAGACGGACTTCACCCAAACAAACGGGGCTCAGAAATGTTAGCTGCGCACATACAGCATGTGGTGCGGTCCACACATGACTTACGTGAATGACTAATCATTCATGCAGCACACCTGGACACACCACCGCTCACTGAACAGATCTCTGTCTCACTGCCACAAACAACTGTCTCCACCTGCTGGCATGTAAAGCCGTCTGCTCACAGCGCTGTTCCACAGACTTCTATTCCTGTCATCATCACGCATAGACCAGTAAACCGAAATGTGCACATCCCACACAGAAATATTAGTAATCTCTTAAGGATTAGGACAACTGCACCAACTCCAGCACCCAGAACAAACTCATTTAAAATGGCTCTCTTCAATGTGAGATCACTTTCAAGTAAGACTTTTATCTTAAATGATTTTATCTTGTCTGCAAATCTAGATTTTATGTTTTTTAACTGAATCGTGGTTGCAAATGAATGACTATAGCCAGCTAGCTGAACTGTGTCCGCCTCAATATGATTGCTTTAGTCAACCGAGGGTCAGTGGTCGTGGTGGTGGGCTAGTGAGCGTGTATAGGAAAAATTTAAAATGTCATCAAGTACACTGTGATGAATTTAACTCCTTTGAAGTTCTCACTCTTAAAGTTGGAGGGCTGCAACCTATCATATTTTTTTATAATTTATCGCCCCCCCAAAACCGCCAGTATCACAAATGAGAGTGTCTTCCAGCCCACTTGATGTAATACCTACAAAGTTTTTACTGAAAGTAATAGATTCTGTTGGGCCCCATTTGATCTCTGTTTTCAACAGCTCCCTATCTACTGGTTGTGTCCCTGATTATTTTAAAACGGCTTGCGTGAACCCACTTTTAAAGAAACCTGGTTTAGATCCCTCCCTCCCACATAATTTTAGACCAATTTCAAAACTGCCTTTTATTGCAAAGATTCTAGAAAGAATTGTGTCCAAACAGCTGCTCACTGTACTGGAAAATAACAAATTATTTGAAAAGTTTCAGTCTGCTTTTAGGAAGTACCACAGCACTGAGACTGCCCTGCTTAAAGTCACCAATGACCTTTTAATGTCTGCTGATGAAGGCATGTGCTCAGTCCTTGTACTCCTGGACCTTAGCGCTGCTTTTGACACCATTGATCACAACATCATGTTAGACAGACTGAGGCACTGGGTGGGGATCTCTGGTACGGCCCTAGGATGGTTTTCATCCTACCTGTCAAATAGGAAGTTTTGCGTGTCTGTAAACAACTATGTCTCCTCATTCTGTCCAGTTAAATATGGTGTGCCTCAGGGGTCGGTCTTAGGACCCATTTTGTTTTCCTTGTATCTGCTTCCCCTTGGACATATTATCCATAAACATGGCATTTCTTTTCATATTTATGCTGATGACACACAAATATACTTGCCTGTCAGATCCACAGACCCTGGAATGCTGAGTTCACTTAACAACTGCCTTTGTGAAGTTGGAAAATGGATGTCAAATAATTTCCTCCAGCTGAATTCAGACAAAACAGAAATCCTGGTCATTGGGTCCCAGCAGATGACAAATCAAATACTGCCATCTGCTGGTTCCCTAGTAAATCACATTAAGCCTGTGGCAAAGAACCTTGGTGTTTGGTTTGATAGTAATTTAAATTTCGAGCAGCACACCACAAAGCTTGTTCAATCATGTTTTTATCAACTTAGAAATATAGCTAAAATTCATCTATGTTAACTTTTAAGGACACCGAGACCATTTTACACGCCTTCATCTCATCACGCCTGGATTATTGCAACAGCCTTTTCACCTGTTTACCCAAAAATCTATTGATCGACTCCAGACTGTCCAGAACTCAGCTGCCAGGCTTTTAACCAGAACAAAGAAATATGACCACATCACTCCTATTTTAGCTTCATTACACTGGCTCCCAGTATGTTTTAGAATTGACTTTAAAATTCTATTGATCACTTTTAAAGCTCTTCATGGCCTCTCGCCTTGTTATATTTCTGACCTTTTAGTCCCATACGCACCAGCACGTACCTTGAGATCCTTGGGCAGAGGTCTGTTGTCTGTTCCAGAGTCTCGACTGAAAACTAAAGGGGACAGAGCGTTTGCTGTCAGGGCCCCGAGGCTCTGGAACAGCCTGCCCGAGGAAATCAGGTCGGCTGAGTCAGTGAACTCTTTTAAGTCCCTTCTTAAAACATACTTTTATAGGAGAGCCTTTCCCATCTTATTTGACTTTATTTTATCCATTTTATTGTATTTTACTAATTTTATATTAATTTTTCATGCTCTTATCTTGTTTTTTTTGTATTATTCTTTACACTTGTTAAAGCACTTTGTAACTTGTTTTTGAAAAGTGCTCTACAAATAAGGATTATTATTATTATTATTATTATTATAAGCAATTGATAATGTAGGAAACAGCAGACAATTGTACATAATCATTTGCATCAGTGTGTCAAGTCATTTGCAATTTGTTCAAAACAATGAGAAAGCCTTTTATGATGTGCACAAGTGACGAGATGATGTGGAGGCTGAACAATTAGTTTTGAGAATTTCAATTCTGATCTGAGAAATGCACCAAAGCGACTGAGAAAAACTGTAAACATTCCGAAGAGGAGCCTTTTATTTGAATGCTTTAGCAAATGAGGCCCCTCCTGTCCTCTGGTTGGCGCTCCTCAGTTCACAGTCTCAACATTGAATAATACTGATTAAATGTAAAATGATTTCATGACAGCATGCAAACCAGATTTGTGACATGTTGTCGATGTGTTCATGGTATTATTGCTGTTTTATGCAAAGCAGATTGGACATGCATGGATTTGTTGTGTTGTGTGCAGTGTGTCTAAGCAGCATGCAGTGATCCCCAGTCAGGTGTTTGAGTTAGAGGATGGCAGCAGCAGCTATAAGGACTTTGCCATGACCAGGAACAACCGCTTCAGCAGCGCTGGACAGGCCTCCAAAAATATCATCCAGCCTCCATCTGCAGTGCTTCACTACTATAACGTTCCTCCATGCATATCACAGGACCACTTACTGAGGGTAAGGTACTTCTGTCTGATAACTGTCCTGTTTTAAGTTTTAGTTTAAATACAGCAAAAGTACTTCTCTCGAAATAGCCTGTCCCTCTCCCTCTGTCTCTTTGGCAATAATAGTAGTAAACTTTAATCCTGAAAAACCTCATCAAGCCAAATGAGCACGGACTGTTTCATATGAAAATTAGCTTTAGAAACTGAAGCAGGGAGGAGCAGTGTCTAAATGTCTTGCTGGGTACAGATAAAGACCTGTCTCTTACATCTAAGGCTTGCCTAATGCAGCTTTACTGATACATTAGCTGCTGTGTGTTTTGACAGCTGTGCACGGAGCATGACGTGCCTGGTTTCGTCAAATTCAAGATGTTTGATGCCAAACGTAAGTAGAACTTCAGTAATCCTTTTACTTCTCTGTGTGAACTGGTTTATTTGAAAGTGATATAATTTATTAACTACATATTACTCCCTCGGCCTATTCCCTCTGTGTCTATCCTTCTCTATCCAATCCTCTCTTTTACTCACACATTCTGGATCACTCTCAGCCTCCTCTAAGACCATCTCTGGCTTGTTGGAGTTCGACAGTAAGACGGAGGCTGTGGAGGTTCTTACTGTTCTCAACCACTACCAGATCAGGATACCCAGTAAGTCTGTCTGAAGTACACAAGCATTCATCCAGGTATCCATGGAGGTAGGGGTGCTGAGGTGGCCGCAGCACCCCCTAAATCCAGGCATGAGAAAACCATCAGTTGGAATATTTGTTTCAACAGTGCAAAGTTATACATTGCAATAGATTGGACAGTATTCACAGTTACACTTTTACTGGATGTACTGTAATTTGTTGACAGAGCATGTCATTGTGATGCAGAAAAGAAAAAAGATGAGACAGTTTGACAGCACTGCAGAGCGACGGAAAAAATGACAAAATTAGAAATGTTAACATGGGAAACAGCCCTTAGGCTGATGTTCCTGTCGGTCGGGGATCAGATTCTCATCCACATCACAACAGACAACACAAGTCTAATATATGTATATAAAATATGCCTGACAGATTATGCCAATTCAAAACAAGTAGTTTTGAATAAATTAGCAGTAGTTGTAGTAGTAGTAGTAGATAAATGTAGGTGATGTTTTCCCCTTTTCTTTCTGGGATATAGGTTAACATTCTTAATCAGAAGTATAATAAACTATACTTGAATATGATCATCATTAAATAAAGCAGGGCAAGTCTGTATCATGAGAGTTTGACTAGCCTGTCACCGATGACTGATTCAGCCTTATGTATTCATCTGTACCTGCTGTTTCTGCAGTCATTCCAGTAATAGGGTGCAGCGTGACTAATGTCTCAGCCAGGCTCTAATACTAAGTATGTTTGTGTGTGTGTGGTTTCAGATGGGTCCAACCCATACACCCTGAAACTGTGTTTCTCCACCTCGTCTCATCTATAAAAAGCTGCAGAGCACAAGAAGAGGCTGCTGAACCTGATGATGGCTGACCTCTGACCTGGGAGAGGGAGAGGGACCACGAGAGGCGGACAAGTGGACGAGAGATAAACAGAAAGAAATGTGAGAGAAGAAAAGAATGCGAGAGAGATGGCTTTTAACGGAGAGAAGGAAGAAGAAAGAAACATGTTAAGGAGAGAGAAGACACTGTCGCTGTCTCCAAACATCAGAGGCACACCGGTCATCCCACCATCCAATCAACTCAACAAGCTGACAGACAAGTGACAAGTCTGAAATACTCCAATAATGTGCTATTTTGTCATGTGAGACTTCTGGAGGACACTGCTCCAGTGTTTGTCCCAGAACTCTTGAACTTGTCTTTGATTGTGGGCCTAGACTGACAGGCTGACTGACTGACAGACAGACAGGCAGACAGACAGAGAGACAGACAGACAGACAGACAGACTGACAGGCTGACTGACAGACAGACAGACAGAGAGACAGACAGACAGACAGACTGACAGGCTGACAGACAGACAGACAGGCTGACAGACAGACAGACAGACTGACAGGCTGACAGACAGACAGACAGACTGACAGGCTGACAGACAGACAGGCTGACTGACAGGCTGACAGACAGACAGGCTGACTGACTAACAGACGGACGACCAACTGACTTACGGGAAGGCAGGCAGACAGACGGACAGACTGACTTACGGAATGACAGACAGACTGACTGACGGACAGACAGACTGACGGACAGACTGACGGACGGACAGACTGACTGACGGAATGACAGACAGACTGACTGACGGACAGACTGACTGACTTACAGGAAGGCAGGCAGGCAGACTGACAGGCTGACTGACTGACTGACAGACAGACGACCGACTGACTTACAGGAAGGCAGGCAGACTGACAGACAGACCAGGGACCCACTCTGAACTGTAATTCCATGTCAGTCAGACATCTCTAAAATCATATCATACTTACTGAAATGATATTTTGATGTTTAAAAAGTGGAAAAATACTGTGTTGTTTTGAATTGCCATTGAACATAGACTGTAAACGTGGATACCATTTTTAAACAAGTTCTCATTTAGGGTTCATTAGTGCTATGTGAAATGTAGAGGTGTCACTCTACTGTTCGGTCAAGAACTTTGGCTCAGATTGAGATGTCTCAACTACTGACCCTTTGTTAAGTTCGCTGTGGACATTCATGGGCCCTACATAAAGATGCTTAATAGTTTTGGTGACCCTCTGACCTGACTTTCTTCCCTACAGGCAGCATAAGACAGACTTTGATCTCTGACGTGGTATCTGGAAAGCTAACAGCAGGATTTCCATGACATGTTCCCAAAGAGACGAACGTTTTGATTTGAATGCTTCAGTGACATCTTCTCTAGCACCACCCTCAGGACAAATGTTAGACTTTCAGCCACACTGCTGCTGAGGCTCTGAGAATGACAACGTTATTATTGTGTTTTTGTCTTGTCATTCAAATTGTGAGGTGCAATAGAAGGTTTTAAGACTGAGGCTTCTAGTTTAGCGACAGAGGCACTACATGTTATTGGCAGCACAAAAGAGAGTGATGTGAGGTCACAGTTAATGCACTGAGATGGTGGAGCTAATTGAGAACAGTGAGCCGTCCAAGCACTAGCTATATAAACTACTCACACCATGAACATTTATCTCAGCTTTACATAATGCTTTTTCAGATATGTAAGTTAGTTTCATCAGCCTCTAAACAAAAAAGGACATATCTGAGTATTTCATCATTACATCTTCCTTTCATTGTCTGAAATAATTGAACGCTGGAGCACACACAGAAAAGTGCGGCGTATCTGAAAGGGTTTCCTGACTTTACTGTGACCTTAAAGGGTAACGTCTATAGTTTTCATTCTGGACCCTGTTTTCCCATGTTTTGCCACTATGTCTATGTGACTAATTTGTGGTTAGAACTTTAATTTGCCCAGTGAATTCAGACTTTGTTGCCAAGTAGCTTTATACATACATGGAATTTTCTTTGTGGCTTTGTGCATTACAATAAACATAAAATATATAAATATAAAAATATGAAATTGACACTGTATAAAACGTTTTAACAGAATAGTACTAATGAATATGTGCAAGAACATGTGCAATATGGCAGATTGTGTCCAGAGTATTTATGTCAGATTTACGATGAACGTTAAAACATTGTTTTCAGGATATTTTTAACACACCAAAGCATGGCACATATGGCACTTCTGTTACTGCCTGCGAGTGAAAACACCAAGCTGCAGCGTTATCAGCTGACTGTGCCAGGTTACTGCCATCAGACAAGTGTCTCGATTTCAAAGAAGGGACATAAATGATTTGGTGGACTGGAATAGAATTACAACTGTGTAAAAAAACAAACTGTTCATATTCTCAATATATTCATTGTGAGGTACTGGGAGTTTCCTCCACACTGCCCTGCTCTTTGTGTTGTACATGCTAGATGTTGTTTTCACTAAATATAACAGGGTTTTAGTTCTTAGGGCCTCTGTCGGCTACTTTCCGTCTGTACGTCACTTCCTTTTGTCTCTGGTCCTTTTGCTGCATCACTTGCTGTTTGAATGGAAATGAATCATTTGCTGACAACAATTAGGTTAATGTCACATTAGAGCTGTTGTTATCTACTGTTTTGATACTGCTGGTGGACATGTGTTTGGCAGTACGGTGTCTTCAGCTTGTTTTCCTAACCCAGTATTGATCTTAATATGTGTTGAGCCAAAAAATATTAGAGAAGTAATGGGCTTGAGACCAGAGTTCTGCCTGCATGTTAACAGTCAGTGTTTGCTACATGCTTTGACTAGAGATGCTGGACCTAGTGCATCAACCTGTCAGTATTCAAGTCTGATACTTTAAGAGAAGTCCTCTTGGTATCAGTACTTCCTATGTGATGTATTTCCTCTGGAAACAGTTGGTGGGGGACACACTAACGGTTAATTAATGTGAGTAAACCAACAGCAAATATTTGACAGGATGAGCAGAAGAGCAGGATTGTTGAAAAACTGGTGATGACTTTATTTGTTGGCCTCAATACACCCACTAGTGCAGCATGAAGTCACAACTGAAAACTCACCGTTTTCTACCAAGTGGCAGTTTTTCACGCGCCCGTTTAATGGAATCTATAATAATTTTGGCCATCATTCCTGTCAGGAAACACGGTGACAGTTTGCTTACTTGATGTGCTCAGTACACAGAATGGTGCAACCTAACACAAGTCCAGTTTAACTTTTCAAAATGCACAACAGCTATATTACACACAGTGCACAACTACTGTAAGACCAGCGTGTCAAAGTAGAACCAGGAAGCAGCCGTCCAGTTTGGGCATTGATTTTAATGGCCGCCTTCCTTAACAATAGGCCAATCTTACCTTCAGACTCAGTATCAATTCTGTCTTTGTCATACCTTAATATCAGGCTCTTGTTTGTGCAGAAAATGTTCATGCTCATTTCATACCTTTTTTGCACTGCACATGGAGAACTACTGGAATTACATAATATTAAAGGATATTTTGCTTTGTCGTTTTAAACAGCATAGTCATTTTTTTCTTGCAATATTTTATTTTTATAATAATACTAATAAGATTTCTTTGTGGATTATGCCTAAATTATGTGACTAAATAGGCTACCTAAAATCTGGAAGATGCATAGGCTCCATATGAAGGCAGAGAGTGCATGACTGGACACACTGGGCTTCTTAGAGGCCAGTTTTTTGGTGAGGCTTATACAGGACATGCAGATTTTCCTGCTCCCAGCCTTCCTTACAGTACGCTGGGATCCATCACACTTGTTAATCAAGGCATGCTTTTTGTACATAATATGTAAATAAGGAAAAGTTTCAACAGATGAATCCCACTTAGTCTGCTTTAAGATGATTGCTCATTTAGATGTTGTTTGTATGTCTCTTACAGCACTTGGATCTTACTGTATTTGTAAGGAGGTTTTATTTATTCTTTTTTAAGTTTTTAAGCCTTTAAGCGGATTTGATAAATGAGGGCTCTTGTTCCTGAGTTTTTAGGGGATTGAAAGTATGAGACAGATCTCATGATTTTTAGGCTGTATAGGTTTAATGTTGTTAATAGTCAGTAATCACCAATGAAACACTTAGAAAAACACAATTAAAATGTTCCATTCATTTAAGAATTTCTGTGATTGTAACTTACATGTACATGTTCAAATTGAATAAATCCAGGTTTGTAGCTGTAAGGTCAGCTACACACTGCTCAACTCAGCTGTCTGTCACTTGTCTTCATTTATAACTAAACAGGTTTTTTTGACATAAAAACTACATCCTTAACTATATTTGACGTCACCAACAGAAAAAATCAGTAACTTTAATGGAACAGAGGAACCTTTCATTCTTTAGGCAGTGTATATTTTAAGACGACTACACCGGAAGTTTTCTTGCGAACTGCTGTTTAATTACAGACTTATAAGCTGATATAATCAATGAATAAGCTGATATATTTGAAAAAGCTTTAAATTATTTAAATAAATTGCATTTAAATTATGCATTGATTGCCTCAAAGTAAAATACTGCTATTAAACGATTGGATTCATTGGGGTCATTAGGTGGAAGATGTCATGATTTTCCCACAAAAGTATTTATATAAAATGTAAGAAAACTAATCCAATAAAAAGAGATGTGTCTTATTTGTCCAGTGTAGTGATGATTTCTGGTATTGCTATGGAGTCACTGGGTTACATGGAAGCATCATTTCTTAAGTAGGCTATAATTTTTATGGACAAGTCTGCATGAAGGTTGTTTTTTTTTCATTCAAACAGTGATTCATTGGTGGTCCCCAAGTCAAACCTCAGCAGGGCCTCTGAGATGTGCTAACTATCCTCCTACTGCCAACGCTGGGTGAAACTAATATGCAAATTCAATTTATCATCTTAATATCGTTTTTTAAAATGTATTTATTGAGTATAATTAAACACTGCTGAAGTCTACAATTATTCCATGACTCGCTCTAGACTCCATATTGAACAGCCAGCCTTCAAATGTTGAGCTTTCCCACCCCACCAGTATCTGCATGCACACCTGAACCCATTGTGGTGGATCAATACAAATTCTTACTGAACCTGTGGAAAACCTGAGCTAACAGGGCCTATCCTGGCTACAGTATGGTCAGCTATGCCATCAGCTACATGTGAAACTGCAAAATGAACTTATTGATCATGGATTTAATACTAATATACTTGCATATCTACACAGATTAAATGGTGATTAATTAAATTAAAATTAGATATTTCCTTGTAAATGTGCAGTTAATTCATAACCATTCATATGACTAACTCAATACTCATGTACTCATCAGAGAGTACTCATCAGGAGCCTGGTCCAGAGCCCTTTAAAGAGCTCTGGCCTGGTCCATATGATGTATTTTCCCAGTATTTCTTTCATTT